ATGCGGAAGTTTAATCCAAAGTTTAATTATTAAGTAAATAAAAAGGCATGCATGATTACAAATGATCAAACTTTTGTTTGTTTTTTTTTCGCTCCTTGAATCCCGTGAAAGCCGTATAATAAAAATTCCATATCAAAAGTGTAATAAGAAGAGCATTAAAACTCATACCTTAAGTAAACACGTGTATTATTTACTATTTTGAACATGTTAGCCAGTTCTTTTGTATTTCTTTGTCGTTGTTTTGTGAAAGTCGTAAAAGCTGTAAAAGCCGTGAAAGTCGTGAAAGTTGTAAAAACTGTGAAAATCGTGAAATCCATATAAGTCGTTTAAGTTGTGAAAGCCGTATAAGTCATTTAAGTTGTGGAAGCGTAAAAGTCGTGTTAATAAAAATTTTACGCGCCAAAAGTGTAATAACGAGTGCATTAAAGACTATACCTTTGAGCAAATACGTATTGCAGTAGTACACACTAGTACCTTGAAATCTTGATCTTTTTTATTCTTGATCCAGTAAGTATTGAGCGGTTCTTTTTTCTTATTTTGGTAAAACAAATATTGTTAAAGTTATTAGATCTATATTTTGTTTACTCGTATATTAGTAGATTCTAACACATTTTAAATCTCAAATTCTTTTAGACTCAATTTCCGTTCTTCTCTTGCTTTCGGAAGGTTTTTTTTTTGCTTTCCCTATCACCCTTAACTTCAAGTAATAACACTTACAGTACCAGACTCTGAACTGGCTTATGGAATCTCAAGCTTTAGATTTAGAAACTTCTGAATCATCAGAAAGTTTATATAAAGATAACGGAACTCTTAAAGGACATTATTTGATTGAGATTTCTGGGCCGCTGCCTCACATTAACGAAAAAATTGAACTTTCTATTAATGATACATTTCCTAATTGGGCAATTGCAGAGCACTATATTGCGCAGTACGGTTATCAAAAAGGATTTGTTGCTATTAAAGTATGCAATAGAACTGACAAGAATGGCCGTTTAACAAATTTGTATTACAAATGTGAATTTGGAGGCACTTATCAACCAAAAAAAACTGTAAACCTACAAAATCAACATAATAAAGGTACCAAAAAACTAAATTGTGACTGGAAGCTTAATCTATCATCAGCGACAGGTTTGGTCCGTATTACTAGTTTACATGATAATCATGTTGAACACTAGCTCTCATCAGATACTAGGATCTTTGCTTCTATTAACCGTCAATTCTCTAATGAGTGTCATGAAGATATTCGATATTTAGTAGTTAATGGTAGATGTGATCTATCAACAATCAGGTCTTTTTTATCTGCTAAATATCCTGATCAACCTTTTTTTACAAGGGACCTTGCTAATGTTGTGGCTCAGTTACAGAGAGAATATCGTGTAAAAAGGAATGATGCATCTTTACTTTTAACAAAACTTTATGAATACAAAGAAATTGATCCTAACTGGTATATCAAGCCTTTAATTGATCCTATTAGCAACCGACTTCGCGGAATATTTTGGATGGATCCAGGCCAGCGAGAAAGATGGATCCGATTTTGTGATGTAATTATCTAGGATAATACAGCACAAACAAATCATTACAATTTTCCTTTGTGTCTTTTTATTTTAGTTGATAATTACAACAAAACTAGAATTGCTGCTCAGGCTTTGATGCCCGATGAAACTATTGAATCCTTTCAATGGGTTGTTCAGAATTTAGAAAAAGCAACTGGGATTCAGCCAAGAGTTTTAATAACAGACGAGGATCTTTCAATGAAACATGTTGCAAGCCATAATCTTTCAAATACCAAACATCTCTTTTGTTTATATCACTTAAGCCAGAATATTTTAAAAAACTTTAAGGGTAAACTTGGTGAACAGTATTCCAATTTTATTAAAGACTTTTACATAACACGTAATAGTTTGAGTGAAGATGTATTTGAATCACGGTTTGCAGATCTTTTGAATAGATATCATCTTGCATCTTCATATTTGCAAAAATTATATTCGATTAAAGAATCGTGGGCATGTGCTTATATATTTAAAATTTTTACTGGGGGAATGCAATCGACTCAAAGAGTCGAAGGGCTCAATAGGCATATTAAAACTGCTATAAACAGCTCATCTACTTTACTACTAGTTATGGAGGCAATCCATCAACATATTGAACGTGAAAGTCTCGATCAGCGATTTACTGCATGGTCTCAGGATCGGATTAATTATAATAATCATATTGTATTGCAATATGTTTTTTCACAAATTGTTAAACAAATCGATAAGTACTTAACACCAAATTTAGCAG